GTACCACTAGCAGCAAGTGATGGTGGGTGTGGTGATGGTGTTAGTGGTGCTGGTGCTGGTGCTGGTGCTGGTGCTGGTGCTGGTGCTGGTGCTGGTGCTGGCGCTGGCGCTGGCGCTGGCGCTGGTGCTGGTGCTGGTGCTGGTGCTGGTGCTGGTGCTGCTGCTGGCCGGGTGCTTGTGCTGATGCTGGTGCCGGTGCCGGTGCTGGTGCTGGTGCTGGCGGTGTTGGTGGCGGTGTTGTGGGCGGTGGTGGCGGCAGTGGCGGGGGTGATGGCGGTGGCTGCTTTTTTATTCTGCATTGCAGAACGAGTCGCTAGGCAATCTAGGCAGTGCAAGGCAGGGACAAGGTCATGATGCTACTGGTGTGGCGTCGTTTTATTCAACTGCTTTGCTCTCATCATCATCATCATCATCATCATGATCACCATCATCAATCATTAACATCATCACTAACACGACCAGCATCGACGGACATACATAACATACAACATTCCCCAAGAGAACGATACAAAGCCCCAGCAGCAGCAGCAGCAGCAGCAGCAGCAGCGGTGCCACCAGCATCCGAATTGGGTATGGATGGCTCCTAGATGCTCGCAGTAGCCTAGCATCGACATAGACCCGGTCACGCAGGTACCCACAGTCTGTTCCAGACCAGAAAGAACACCCTGCCTGCGCTTTTGCCCACATCTGGTCCACTGCGAAACCGAGGCCAACTTGTTCTGCATATGTCCCTGGGATTCTGCGAGGTAGGAGAACCACTACCCACGCCGGCACACACCCGCAGTGACGCAGCACCTTTTCCCTGCAAAAAGAGCACTTCGTTGACGTGTGTACTCCTGCCCCCTGCTGAAATTCAATCTTGCTGACGTTCCTATCCCTTGGGTTCCCCACACAGTCAGACACACTCGCTGGCACGCACTCACGCACGAACGGCCAGACATAAGGTCCAAGAAGGTACATCTCGTCGAACAGCACTGCAGAACGCAAAGGTCGGAAAGTCCAGAAGAGTCTTGCTTACCTGCTGGAGCCTGGCGTTTGGACCATGCCCCCGTGCCACTGATCTAACTCTAACAGATTCCATGTGCACAACAGTTTTCATTTTTCAATGTGCATGTGCCGGATACACTCACATGAAAGGAACGTGAGTTCTTCAAGGAGGCGATCTGTACTGGAACGACTTGGCGCAGATGGGTGCCCATGTTTACTCAAAGGGTCACTTGCGATTGCTTCACTCATATCACCTCTGCAAATCAGACTTCTTGCGTCGAAACCGCCAAAACGAAGTCAGTTCGTTAGATTCACTAGATTCGCTCGTTGGGTGGCCCCGGCGCCCTTGCCGATTATCATGATCGCAACGATGGATCGACGGTCAAAGACCTTCACGTGTTTCGTCCTACAGGGGCAAAAGGGACTCAGCATCACCAAACACAAGTCCAAGAACCCTGAATTCCCGGAATGTATCATGTGCACAACATGGACACGCGCAAACGAATACACAACGGCACGCGACGCCACGTGCACGGCGCCGCAACATAGCGGCTGTAGGCCCCGCACGGATATCCGAATAGCGCTCTTCACTGAGACCCCCCAGGCTCACATGGTCCTGGCAAAGATGTGCTCAAATGGAGAATGAAACACTTGCCTCACCCTAAGTCAAGTCTGCGCACAGATGTCTTCTGACGTTCTGCGTCTTACCCAAGTCTGATCAGCATGGTGGACAGTGGACGTGGAAAAACACATGCCTGCAGCATGTTGGCGAAGCTTTGATCCGGATTCTTCTCCTTTCAACCATGGAAGTGAAATTACAACAGCAGCGCCTTATTGGGTCCCGGTTAACTAGACGAATTCAACAAAATATTCGGGCATGTGCAAACTAGAACCGAATCACAGAATTCAAGCTTCCTGCCAGGAGAGGATCATCTTGGCAAGCTCATAGTCTCCAATGTCCTGCGAGCCACACAAGCCCAAGCCCTCGCTATCGGTCAAGTCTCCAAGCCAAGCCGAGGCTCGTTGGTTGCCGTCGCTAGCAACTCTTCCAGCAGCTTTGGACTCAGTGTCCAAGCATCCTGGAGACTTTGTTCTGGATCTGCCAACAAGGCTCCTCAGCGTTAGCGAAGTCACCAACACTCCATTGGTCTCATAGCCCGTCATAGCCCATCGCAAATGAAAGCTGAGCAGCTTAAACATGCCCCTCGCAGCCGTTCGCCTACTTCTGGGAAGCGATGTGCCACTTCCAGCATGGCCTACGGCTGAAACTGTGGGATAACTGGAGTTGTGCATCGGAGAAAGACAAGCTCGCATGTGCAGCTCGCACGAATCCAGGAATCGAGATGAGCTGCATAAACGTCGGAGAGCGAGGTCCCATTCAACAACATTGCTTCGCAAATCTGGGAGGGCTCCTGCGGCACTTTGCAGCACACAAGGCTGCAACAACACAAGCACTCTTGATGTGAGCATGAGGAGTCATAACCTAGAAAAACACTGAAGCCAGACCCGCTAGAAATGCAAGACCCGTATGTCAACGTTTCAAGACGCAACTGCAACAAGCGCTTAGCTGGCGACGTGTCAGCCAAGACTCCTGCTAAAGGTGCAGTGCCGCCGCGCCCGGCACACCCACGCCGCCACAAGGCGCGGGTGGGCGCCCGACTTTGTGAGGCCAACGTCTCTCGTCTCCGACGCCGTGTCCAGGAGGGATGACTCTAGGGCCCGCGCCGAGGTGATCAACGGTAGAACACCTGGCCGTCGAAGTAAAGCCCCAGCCGAGAACCCAGCGGGCAGCCTTTGGGACGAAGTCTGCGGGTCCACGTGGCCCGCCAGAGCACGGGAAAGGGACGTCCGGAAACGCGCTTGGCCACGGGCGACAAAGGGTGAGAGTCTGCGGAATTGGCCGTGTCGGCCGCCTCGCAACCCGGAAATCAGTGTCCGAGGCCGACGTCGTGGTCCGCGACGAGCGGGTCGATCACGGTGGCCTCGAACTTAATCTGGTTCGGCTCGACGAGTGCCAGAGTGGCCGTCCACGCGCCTTGAGACAATGGCCGATCTCATCACCAGCGCGTGGCAGAGCCCGGGACGGCCGTCACGGAGGTAGGCGTAGAGCAGAGGTTTGCAGAGACCGTAGCAGCATGACGAGCCTCACTTGAGATGCTCAAAAGGGCAACCCCGCTCAGCAGGCGAGGGACCACGCATAGACCGGCGGAGGGGGCCATTTATTGTGGGCGAGTGCACGATCTGCGCCCACGGGCCCATGCAGACGACCGTCAAGATGCGACCGAAGCGCCAGGACGGATCCCAAGCGTTGGCCCAACGAGCCCTGGCCCAGTCACTCAACATTCTGGCGGGCGTGGCTACGCGTAGCATTGGCCACAAGCATGCCCTTCACCTGCCGGCCAACTAAGTCCGTATTCACCGTGAAAGCGGAGAATTCGAAGGGCAAGGGCCGAGAGTCTACCCGCAACAGCGGAAAAGTTGAAGTTGAAGGGCACGGGCCAGACAGCCTAACCACAAAGACCAAAGAAAAATGAGGGGCACTCCGAATAGTCTAGTCATGAAAACGGTAGTTTGGCGAACATGGGCGGATAGTTTCACCCCAAAGATGGAGACGTTGAGGAGCAAGGGTGCATTAGTCTAATCTTGAAGGTGAAGCCGAATGGTTTACCCGCACAAGCGGAGAATATCGATAGAACAGCCAGTGCCGGCGGGCAGAGGCAGCTCCACGGCACTGGAATGGAAGCTCCGCCCAGCAGGCGAAGTCCTTCGCGTCCTCGGCGACCGACAGAAGAGCGAGAGACGGAGTCCAGGCAGCCGACCTGCAAGTAGGCCGGTTTTGATCCTCCCAGCTGGAGCCGACGAACTAGAGCTTCGACATGTCGCCCGCAAGGGCAAGGTCTTCGACTGCCTCTGCAGGGCCACTGCAGGGGCGATGGGAACCCTGTGCACGGCCAAGGCCACCGGGGCGCGGGCGAGTCCGGGCGAGGCAAGGTACGCACCGCCCAACCTCTTTCTCTCCGCACATGACCTCATGAGTCAGACGTCGACGTCGACGTCGAATTACCAGACTCGGTGGCACACGGCGCTTCGTGAGACGAGGGCGAAGAGCCCGACGCCTTGGAGGACGATTCAAGCGTGGACCCACTCGGCCGACGTCTTCGTGATCGGCACGTGGTTCATGCGGCGTGAGATACAAGTCGCCGGGGGCGCAGGTCTGCGACATCACTGTGGCCACTGAGCCTCAACCTCACGCACCGGGCATTGAGGCGCGCCTGTGGGGCTGCCATTCTGCTGCGCCTCTATTCCCAACATAAGGGGCGGCACCAGGTGTCGGTCCAGTTCCTCAACACCGCTCTGAGGCGGCCGGCTCGTCACAGCTCTTCGTCGCCGGGCATCTGCAGGGACCTTCTTGGCGGCTGGTGGTGGCGTGCCTATTGGCGTGATTCTCGAGCTGCTGGGGCGCTGCGCTCGCTTTCGCTGCAAAGTGGAGGAGCCAGGAGCGGCAGCTTGGCGACGAGCACGACGCGGGGCGGCATCACCGTCGCCCAGCCCTACCAGGCAGCAGCTGTGCCCGTCCCGCCTGCGACTACTGGCCAGCTCAATCAGCTCGACGCTGCAGCATGGCTGGAGCGCGGGCGGTCCGCCTCCTCGCCCAAGGCGTCCGCCTCCATCCATTGGCAGACGGATGACGGCTGCCCGAGGGCATGCTGATCCTGCGCCTCTTCTCCACAACGCGTTGCAGGACGACGTCCGGCGGCTGCAGAAGTGGGGACAAACCCTTGTCGCAAGCCAGAAATGACTGCGAGGTCAAAGGCTGCTGGCCCGTGGACAACTGGTCGCCCTGGCCCACAGGGCGGGCCAGTCCGAGGATCTTTTGGAAGGTTAAGAACATCAGGCGAGCAAAGTCATCCGGGGAAAGCGCCCACAAGGTGGACGTCAATTCAGACGCTGTGGCGCCGGCGACGAAGTTGCCGACGAAGAGGTGGGTCTCCGTCTGCACCTCGGCATGGTGGAATGCCGGAGGCGCCTGACGGGGGACAGTCGCCGGCGCCGGCTCTGGCCAGGGCGAAGTGGCGGTCTCCACTGTCTCGCCTGTGCCGCTGAGGCGGCCACCCCATCCGACGAAGTCAAAGGAGCCGACGACAAAATAATGTCGTCGTCCACGCCGGCGTACTCCGCCAGCTCTGCGGCGAAGGCGGCCCAGGAGGCGGCATCGGATGCCATGACTTAGGCGAGGCGAGGCGAAAGGTGAGGAGACACAAGTCGAAAAGGCTTTCGAGCCGCAACTGCGGTCGAACACATGCGCATTTTCCTACACGCATGAGTGCATTACATCACTATGGTACCTGCAAGCTGCTGTGCAAAGACCATGTCGCAAGCTGGGGGTTGTGAAGTGCTCTGGGCCTGCCCCGAGTACACATGCATTCCCAAGCAAAATTCACCCACTTGAAGCCAAGGGTGGTTCGCAAGTGGTGCTTAAGTGTGCCTAGAGTCCTGTATGTCATAGATCTCTGCCATCAGTGCAGCTTCGACGGCAACTGTCATATTCGTCGACAACTTGCCGGAGTACAGGAACCTCCACGTGAAGCAGGCCGGCAAGCATGCCAGGTTAACACACGCAGATACAAAGCCCTCCCACAGCAACGGATGCTGCAGTGTTGCCTCAGGAAGGCATCAACAGCTGCTGAAGAGAAGTTCATGATCTCCCACCTGTGGCATGGGTGATGAGACTCAGAGACTCGATTGCCACAAACAGCTTCCAAACACCTGCAAGGAGTCTCCTGATTCATTTTGGGATGCAAGCCCGCCTGTCCCCGGACTTTTCCACCTGGTGTGCCAAGGTCGGAGACCAGCCCTTGGTTGCAGTGATGCCTGCTTTCCCTCGGCATTGCACATCTTCCTCAATGGCAAACCAATGCGTCGATCGAGCCAGGCCAACCGCAGCCTTCGCGACTGACTTTTGGCTCGCAGAACTCGCAAAAGCAGCACATCATCAGCTGTAGCCTGCGTTTCTTTGGGACTCTCCCTGAGCGAATTTGCGGCGCTGGCCACACAAGTCCGGCAGACAAGGCAGGCGTCTGGAAGAATCGGGGTCCATGTCAAGGATGTGTTGATTGCCGATGCAGGGTAAGAGAAACGAGAACCCTCAACATCGGTGGCTCTTCCGTACAGTCACGGTGAACAGTCGCCTCGATCTTTCCGTAGTTGCACCCATGGAATATCTGCCGAAGCTGCTCACCGCGATTTTTAGCAGAAGGCAGGACTCAGAAGCAAAATGTCTACATACTGCAGCAACAACTTGCGTGAGGAGGCTAAGGCCAAAAAGTCAACATCCAAGCTGCGGAGAGAAGCTTCGAGTAGACACGGAACTCCGCTTTCACGGAGCCGTTGCACAAAACAGCCTGGCGATGTCATCATGTCGAGACTTCAACTATCTGGCAACAGCCTTGTTATTCAATTGTGGTGGTTCGTGTTGGTTCCAACTTTGAAGCCACATTGTGCCACACGGAATTCAGCTGAGATTCTACTTTGAGATCTCCGTCTTGATTGAAACATGACCTCGGACACAGTCCGAACGACGCGACGCCACACGACATCAGACCTGTCGTTTTCCCTATTTTCAAGCCGATAGGAAGCTACTGCACGAGGACTAATGTCGGCTGAGTCGCTCCACTGCTTTGGCCACTAAGTGCGAGCAGTCCATTCTGCAACTAAGCCTGGCTTTCCAGGCTGTCGATGGTGAAACCGGAAACCTTCTACAAATGCTGTGCACAAGTGGGTCGCTGTTGGTGCCGTTCACTACTCCAATCCTGTTTCCTCAATCTAGCGAGCCATGTGAGGCCGAAGTGCAAGGAATGGCGAGTTGGCATCAAGCAGGTATGCGGGAATGCCGACTGCGCTCCCTGTGGAACTTTTGGCACTGGACCTGTTTCTTCCTCCGCTTCATGCGATCGAGCAGATGCCACGCTCAGCCTTGCAACCGGTTCGGAACGCGCTCTGCCGGTCAGCTACGTGATGATTGGACACACGGAGCCAACGTTGCTCTCAATTCGCGGCCTGGCGTCTCTTTTCTGTCCACGCTGCGAGTGTATCGCCTTGCCACAGCCTGTCTCAAAAGAAACATGTGGCAAACGAAGGTACAGCACTGCGTGCTGTCGATTCCGAGATGCCGGCTCTTGGCGCACCTGTGTTTCGGCGGGGCTGCAATCCGAAGGAGAAAGCAAAAGTGCGCACCCGACATATTTTTTTCACACACTCTGGTATCACACAAATGAATCTCCTCACCGACAGCACGACAAGCCTGGAACTCCTGTTTGCGAGCCCAGCTGGCACAACACAAACATAGGAAGCTCACTTCAGAATGAAATGTCCGACAACTTGGATTCACGACCTGCTGTCCCACAGTGCCCGTCCTCAACTTCCACAAGACTTCTGTTGACGACAGCCTCCATCCACATCATATGCAGATGCGCAGACAGGGATGATTTCCATCGTCGCCGATACAGGGCATAGCTCCAAATGCACATGTTGCGTAACAGTAATAGCAGTTGACGAGCAATACTGCGACATGAGCACCTGCCTCTCGGATCCAGGCTTGTAGGACTTGATGATCCCAGAAGCGAACCTGCACATACCAAGAATGTGTGAAATAAGGCACCTTCGCCGGCGTTTAAGCCGACACGCGTGGTCCCAGCCGACGCTGATCGTGAGCCCAATCCCGAACCCTGCCCTCGACAATTAATCATGGCTCGCCGATTGCTGGTAGATGACAGGAACCCAACACCCCTAAGCTGCACGCGTACAGTCTGCTGTGAGCAAACACGCCCCTGATCACAGCTCCTACCTCAACCCGCATCAATGTCAATCAAAATAAAGCAACGACTTCGCAATCATGAGCCCCAAAACCAAACATGAAGGATAGTGCTCTGCCGCCATCCAGCCTCAACATATTGCACCGATGGCTGCTTCTTGCTGCAGCTCCTGACTCACATGATAAAACACATCACAACAACTTCAAGCACAAAAAACCCTAGCATTTTACAGTCGAAGCAAGCCCCAAAACCTTCATGTCTCCACACTTTTTGGTAGGCACATAAGATATGGGAACAGCACAATGTCACTCATCTCGGTGTGTTCTTGTCGGGTTCTTGCTCCTTCTAAACAACACTTCCTAACACCTGTTGAGGCATGTTGCTGCACAAGGCGGCTATCCCGCCCCTGAGACTCGCCTCAAACAGTGAGGTGACGGGAAGTACCAACATGTTCACGGCCCGTTGAACCGGTCCGTGAGTTCCAAAGCACTCAGCTCCTCTGTCCCGCCCCGACTTCGTCGTCCTGGCTGTCCTGCACCAATGTACCGTAGCAAAGCTTCTCGGGCATGGATGTGGTGGCATGCATTGGAGTCCGCAAGAACGGTCAGCCCAACGCGTGCAGCAACTTCTGGTGGAAAGCCTTTGTGCGCAGTGTCGCACATGTGCACAAATTGAAATGAACGCACCTCGAACTCCACAACCAATGGCAGGACAGCCTCGGCACGCCGTGTTTGCGCTGCTTGCATGGCGTACACACGAGAATCGTAGCCCGCAAGGCTTGGGGCAAATACAAAGGGAAGTTGCGCCGAGGTCCACTGTGTGCTGCAGTATGCCTCGACCGAGGCTCGGCTTTGCTGCACAGGAGCACCAGGGCAAGTTTTGTCGAAAGCGCATGGCACCGTTCTCTGTTGCCCGTCGGCACCGGTTACAGATCTCTGGGGATTAGGAGCGGGGCTTATGGATGAGAGTTCTCCATCCCTCATGGCTCTGGCAAAGAAGCTGAACCTTGCGGCACAAAGGAGTATTGTCCATTCTCATAGAAGAAGTGGTTCCATGTGCTCTGTAAATCTGTTGGTTCGTAGGGATGGAGCAAAGAGTGCTATTGATTTCTGAGTGTGATGGAAGGGCATCCGAGGACATGAAGTCGATGGAATGCGCTGCCTCGGTCAGGCATGATTCTGCCCAGTGCGCGGGCGAGGGCGAACTGCCCTATTCGGAGAGGAGAGATGTATGTGTGTATATTTTTTCTATATATATATATGCATGCATGGGAGCCCATGAGGGTAACTCGGTACTCGAGCGCATCTACATGTCCGTAATCCATCCTCCGTAATATTAAATGCCCCTATATTTAAAGGTTTTGTTCCGGAAATCCTGGTTCTGCAATCAAATACATCTCCCTGTATTTAAAATTTCGGGTAATAATGTCGTCCGATAAACAAGTTTTTTAGTAATGGAGTCTACGATGGGGTTAGAGCCCGAAATCTACTACTTTACTGCAACTAGTTGCTTAGTAGGGCTTAAAACTTGTTACTTTATTGCAATTTATGGCAATGTAGAGGCTTAAGACTTACTACTTTACTGCAATTAAAGAATTGAAGGCTTAGTAGAGGCTTACAACTTACTACACTACTGCTATGAGAGGCTTAGTAGAGTCTGAGGCTTAAAACTTACTATTCTACTGCAGATAGAGAGGCCTAGTAAAAGCCTAAAGCTTACTACTTTATTGCAATTTGAGGCCTAATAGAGGCTTAAAACTTGCTATTTTATTGCAGTGAGGCGCTTCGGTGCCAGGCAGCCAGGCTTGCGGTCAGACCAGTCAACTCAGAACAGCTTTGCCTTGGAAACTTCGCTTCAGAAGTGCTTCAGCTTGAAGCTCATCCTCAGCGTAGTCCTGGCAGCACAGCAACAACGCGGGGCTTATTTAGGTTTGATAACAGGTGAGTGCAGAGATTGGGGTCGTTCTGCCTCGAAGTCCCAGATGCCCGGACGGCACAGAAACTACACCAGTTCAACTTACCAAATTCATGAGATTTCCGGTCAGACACATATCCAATCAGGCACTAAAGAGATACCAAGCTGAGACAGCTGTCAGAGACAAGTTTTTGGAAAGAAACTGAGGTGAAAGCCGCTGCCCGGTCAGCAGGCATTGGCCGCGGGTCCCTGGACCCGGGGTGCCCTTCCGGCACGTATGTACATCTCGCTTGAGCAGGTGATTCTGAAGACGACACGCTACAGGGCAGACATGCCCCACCTGGCACTGCCGTGTGCAGAACATACCGCACCTCCAAGACAGGTTCACAAACCCCATCTGCACTTATCGATCCCATGGACTTGAACACACCGTATATCGTAAAATGCAGTCGTACTTCGTAGCTGCCGTAGCTTGCATCTTCTGCTTCAACCCGAGGCCTGCAGGTTGGGAGCCTCTGTCAGCAAGACGGAGCCAAAGTCCAACATGGAGGCCTTCCGGCGTTCCGGATGCTGGAGCATACTGAGCATACTTCGCAACCGCCGGGCAACCGCGGAGCCGCTCCTTGGCGTGGCAAGCTGCCCGCAACTCTGGGCCTGCCTGGCCATAGCACAGAGCACAACTTGCGTGAACTGCGTGAACTAGGAAGGCTTTCGGGCTCACGTGTCCAGGCTGACACCCACAAAGCGATTGGCGGCGTCTTGCCCAAGACATGGCCGGTTTGACCCTCTCATGCAAAGCAGCATCCGCACCTCGGGCTAAAGAGGTGCCACCACGGATATGGACATTAGATGACATTAGCCTTTGGCCCGTTCGACGCTCTCGATGTTTCGCCCGCTTAGCAGTTCGCAACTTTTGTCAGGCTTCGGGACTCAGTTGTCACAAGTTCTAGTCAAGCCTTGTTGGGACGAACTCT